TGTTGGAGAACACTTAAATACCAAGGTAGATGTGCTTGGTACTAGCAATTTGCTTCAATTTCCACAAAACCTACCTTTTCCTTGAGGTGTGCAAAATTAACTAGGAGCGCACATGTCAAGCAATTGGCTATTCCATGGCACTTGCAAAAGATCATTTAAAATATCAGTTAAAAAGTTACAAAACTATTGCAGGTGAAGAGTAATTTTCTGTGAATACTTCCTATATTTTCTGTTAATTTAGTTTGTGGATTAATAGCTAACTCTGCTCCCATCCCTTTTGTCTTACTGCAGTCTTTATTCAGTAATATTCCCCTAACATCCTTATCAGAGGGATCAGGCAGTCCTTGGTCCACTGCAGTTACAAGTAGCAGAGCCAGGGGTAAATCTCTGCCTGGAATGTCTGAGAGAGCAGCTCTGAAGTGCTGGGAAGCAGTTCAGAGCTCCCATGGCTCCAAATGGCTCCAAGGTGTTGTGAAAGCAACCTCAAAACTTGTACTTTGCCTAAGTTGTGGGTATATGCACAGGGCTGGTCCTAGCAGGCAGAAACAAACTCGTGACAAAACACTTATTCCTGTGAACATCCCATCCCTCAAGATCATTCTGGTAATTCAAGCAACATGCTTGGTTGAATTTTACAAATATGCAGGTATTGTCTTGGTAAGATTTCTCTGGTAAGGCATATGGCTCCTTGAAGTTCATATTCATATGAAGAAGGATATATATGAAAACAAAAGCCTAATCATAAACTCTAGTTTATCTTCATGGAGATAAAATTTTTCAGAAAATAGGCTTGTCTTGAAAAGGCATCTCAAGCTGAGATTATTTTGTGAACCTGTTGCAGTACCATACTGCAAAGGAAGAGGCAAATACCTAGTACACTTGCGTGTTCAGTGATCTGTTGGTTAAAGTAATTTCTTCTTGTTGCTTAAGAAAAAGTACATCTTTTAAGTCTTTGTTAATACTCCAAGGCTTTCAAAACACTTAACAAGCCTGGCATTTGCAGGCTGGTAATATGTTTTGCATAATATCAATGGCCTGTCTTTGTGGCCCATGGGAAAAAGAAATCCTTTTCTTCTTTGTGGTGCATTCATACAGGCCCTCTGCCCAAGATAATTACAAGTGGAAACACTTTTTGTCTTCTGAAACCTTGATTCCAGCAGCCCAGGTGTTTTGATGAAGTTTCCAGTATATATCTAGCCAAAACGGTTTTGCGAAACTTAGCTTAGTTGTATTTTTTGTAACTTTATGTAGGCCTTGCTGGAATATATTCAAACAAATGCAAGAAATGCTGTTTGATCTCTTCAGATGGTTAAATTGTGATTCCTCTTAGCACTGCTTTGGCTTGGTGCACCCTGTTTCCTAGTCAACTGAGGATGAAGTTGGAGGAGCTGGCAAGGCTATGATATTTACATAATGCCTTTTTTTCCTGTGAACCCTAAATGTGGATGGAAACAGCCTCTAATCTTCTTAGTGATCTAAGCAAAGATTGAATGCTTTGGGTCAAGCTGGGGTTTTGGATAGGCTCAGTTAGAAAAAAAAATAAATTCAGAAATCCCAGCTCTTCACAATGATTGCAAATGGAAATATTTACAGACTGAGCTAGTTAATGTTTCAGTAGTAGATAATATTTTTATTATTTCACCAGTTTGCAAAGACCACATAATCTGTTTTGAGCCATACTTTTTGAGACATCTTGGAAGCAGAACAAACAGCCCTTGTATTGAGCTCTGGACACTGTTCGAGTTCATTCCCCTTAGGGTAGTTTAAAGTTTATCATGAGGGATGAAAATACAAGTGTCAGGTTAAGCATACAACCTCAAAATGACTGGAAAAGACTGCATATGTGATCTTAATCCATCTTGCACCACTACCACTATGACATAGTAAGAAGAGGAGTTTATTAGGTGGCTGTCCTTTCATATCTCACTTATTAAAATATACTGACTGATTTTTGTTGTGTGTTACAGTAACATAGCTTTTCAAACACTGCTACAATAAACTTAAATGTTTTAAATTTTTTAAAGTAGTTTAATATCCTGAACTCAGGCTAGAAGTGACATTTCATACTTGATTTGCTTTGCCTGCCTAGATTTTGTGATATTTTTTCATGCAGAAGTTACAGCTTGTCAGGCATTCTGAACCAATGTGCAAGTACAATACACTACAATGAAGGGCGGAAAAAAAAATCAGCCTCTCCTATTTACATTTTCCTTTTTCTTCAGGTTTACCTTCCCTAATCCAAAAAATTCATGTTGAGTTGTTTGACTTAATATTACCAGAAGGAGTTTTATTATGTAATGCATTTTCACATAATATAAGATCACTCAGAGACTGATTTTTCAGAACATGAAAGTTAATAGGAGCTGCTGGCCCTCTTTTAAGACCTGCAGCCTAGCGTTTGCAAAGCAAATGGTGAGGTTTTATGTGATTCCTTTTGTAACTTAAGTTCAGCAGCAGGCTTTTTTTTTTTTGCCTTTTTTTTTCCTTTAGTTTGTGTTCAGTAATAGAATCAGTATTACAACCGTTCCCTGCTTGAACTTGTCACCACTGCATTTCATTAACTTTCTCAATATTTGATGCAAATTGTTTCTAATTAACATGCCTGTGAATAAAGAAAAAAAGGATTCTCAAAAACCTGTGTGCAGTCTGTATAATAATAAAATTTTATTCTCAGCTATGAAGACTTTAATTTTATGACCTTTTTCAAAATTGTTGTTGCTATTATTTTTATTCTTGTAATACTGTATTTTAGAATGAAACCCTTTTATCTGTATTATAATTAATAATCAGAAAATTAAAACATAGTAAGGCAAGTAAGAACATGATTCATTATTGAGAAAAAAGAACACAACCAAATCAGAACTGGTCTGATGATCTAATATTTTCATTAAGGGAAATGTTTAGTAGATTCTGTCTTTTTTGGTATGTGCTATCATTATTGCACACATTAGGAGTGCGTCTGTTTTGGTTTTCTTCCCTTTATCTTAAAATGAGATGATCCAATTTGTTAAAAAGGAGGGGAAAAAAAAGAGGGAAAAGGAAAAAAAGCAGGGGGTGGTGGGGTGGGGGGGGGGAAGGGAGGCATATGTCATCTATGTCCTTGTGATTATCCAGAAATAAATTTTGTCCATCCACTGTAAAACAGCATAAAATTTGAAGTGTAGGGATCAAGGGCAATTTCATGAACATGGCTGCCTTGCATTTCCTATGTGGAAGGAAAATATATAGTAAGGAATAAAAAGATACATATATATAAACTTCCCATGTGTATATTCTTTTTTATAACTAAAAGGAGATAAATACATAGGGGTGCATAATCAGAACAGGATATTGCAGGAGTCCAAATTGTGCTTGTAGAAGTTTGTTAAAGGAGTTGACCAAATCTGACCACTGAGCTCTGTATTGTTATTCTAATGGGAAGAAATAAAAGATAGCAAGGGGCCTATGGCCTCAGAGAGCAACTTGTCAGTGAGATTGAGGCAGTCTAAATCTGACTGTACCCAAACACAATTGTTCAGCCCTTCCTCCTTTTTACCACCCTGGCAGCACGTTCTCCCTGCTCCTTTTTGCCTTCACTTCTGTAAGTTTGTCCATGCCATGAAGAGTAATTGTCTCCTACTCCACTTCCTTCACATTGTTAATTTTTGTCTGAGTGAGTAATCCTCTCTGAGTTAGGGCACGAACTGCTGTGCCAGCATAAGGGTATCCGTGGATTCGTACAGCTGGAGGCCACAGGACCACACCTTTTAGTGGCAGTATGGATTTAAATCAAATGGAAGGCAATATGGAAAAGCAGCCTGAGCTTTACATGCATCGTGCCCCTTGTAACCACAGCGTTCACTGTAATAACAGGAGAGATTTAGACAAGTATGCCACTAGGCTAATTAAGGGCTCTTCTGCTAAAGAGGCTTTTGTCTCAAGCTTTAGTTGTCGAGATCTGAATGTAGCTATATATATAAAAAATAATTACTATACAACTACAGAAACAAGACAAATTTTAAGGCCTTGATTAAGACTTTATTTTATTTTTACGTATACACCAGTATGATACTGGTATGATACTGAACTGCTGATATGGGTACTCAAGTTTCAGCTTTGGGATATTTTTAATTTAAAAGTGTTTAGGAAACAAATTACAGATGTTATTCTGTCTGTTTTCAGCTGATATTTCCATGAACATCATATTCATTAATCTGGATGTCACTCAGACCATTCAGGCTCTCAGTTTGAAATGTGAAGGCTGGTTTCAGTGAAACTCCTCTTGTTGGAAATGGGAGCTGCATGTTTTACTCTAAAAGCAATGCTGGACTGACTGTTCATTAGTAATTGTGAATAAGTATTAGTGATTTGAGTATGCAAGTTAAGTGTACATGGAAACACCTATAGGGTTCCTTTGCATTAGCTATGCCTGTGTTTGGAAATGTTCATGAATGTCTGAGGTCAAGCAATAACCTGTTCTTCCATAGCTCTTGCTGGTTTTTAAAATCTTTGTGCTGCTTGAAATAAGTCTGATCAGAGTTTCAGCTTGATGATTACACTGTACTTTTTTCTTGCTTCACCTTCCATCCTTTCATAAACTAGTAGGGATACAGTTCTCTTCCACATTCATAGGAATACTTAACACTTTCTGTTAAAGCTGGTTTGAATTAAGTATGCTTTCCCAAAATTTGCTACTGCAAAGTGGCTTGTTTTCACAATTATGACAATTATGTCAAATTACATTGTTCCTCTTTTTTTTTTTGTTATGAAAGGCAGTGTCTTGGTTTTCCAGAACATGGTCTGCCAGTCCCCTTACCATTCCTATAGTACTCTTCTCATAAAACAAATAGGAACAGAAGATTTAGAAAATACACCTCAATTCCTGGCTAAACTGAAATATCTCATGGATGCTTGTGCCCTTCATATTTGGTTGCATTCACTTTCATGTTATCTCATGCTCTGTAGCATTAATGAAAGCAATTGGGCATTGTTTTGATCTTGTTATTTATTTTTCTCCCTAGCTGTGTGCTGCCCACCTGCCAACCCGATCAGAGGCACCCAACCACTATCAAGCAGTGTGTCGGGCTCTGTTTGCCGAAACAATGGAGCTCTACACTTTCCTGGCCAAAATTAAAAGTGCAAAAGAGGTAAGCTGTCTGAGAAGGTTTTCTGCTTTTGAGCTCATCACCATGTGAATTTGGCTTACAAAATCACTTCTGTACACAGCCAGTAGGGAATGTCAAATGCTTGAGGAGAGAATCTGTAGTTTTCAGGGAGTACACTTCTTCAGCTGAGGCTCTTTTTTAATTTTGGCCTGTAACATTTGACATCCCACAGAATTTGTTATTAATTGTGACTAGTCTATTTGGGAGTAAAACAGAGGATTTTCTTACAGGGTAACACATTACATATATGTACCCATTCCTGCATGCATGTGCAATACATTTTAGTCTAAACTCTTCTCTGGTGTTTCAGGGGTCTTATGAAGTGTCAGATTTTTGCCTGTTCTTCCTCAGCTCCTTCCCATGAGGGAATTCTCTTTGCTGAGTACCATCTGAGATTCTTCTTGCTCGTATTTTGTCTCCAGTCAGCAGCTTCTCTTACCTTTTGTTGTATGATTGATTTGTTGTCTGTCCCATAGGTTTCACAGGAGAGCCAACGTTAAAAATAGAAACATTTTCCCCTTCAGGTCACAGTGCTTATGTTCACTGTCTGTTTGGCTGTTATTGTTGGCTGAAAGGCCATCCTGTGAACCATTGCAATTAACGGGTCTGGCTGAAGAGTGATTTTAAGGATGATATTTACTGCAGATCATTTCAGTGATCTGGCCTGCAGGGTGGCCCTGTGAACAATTGTGTTAAAACAGTCTGGGTGCTGGTAACATTGGAAAACTGGTGGGTGTGGGGAAGGGCAGGAGGGGAAACTCATTTTTCAAAGCTGGTTTCTTCACCAAAGCAAACTTATCAAGTAGCAATGCTTTCATAATTTTTTTTTGCTTAATAAATCCCTGAAGGGTTTTCTTTTCTTTTGTAAGTCAAGATCTACAGTACCTTTGAAAAGCAGGATAAGATTTTACAGGCTGACCTAAAAAATTTGCTGCTGAAAGAAGCAGAGTTGTTCCACCCACGCACATGTACTCCCACGGTTTTCCTTCTTCTGGTTCTAGGGAACAAATGCAATAAATATCAAGCAAAAGAAAAAAACAAAGGAGCTATTCCTTGTCAGGTTAATGAGTTGAATCGGCTCAATAAAGGGTCAGATGAGCCTCAGAGCAGCACAAGAGAGCTTTTTTCATGCTCATGGTGGAAGATGCAAACTAGTCAGAGACATAAGGGACTGCTGCTCTTTCCTTCCTTCCGGAGATGCATCATCCAAGAGGGAGAATCCTTCTGAGATGTTTTTCAGCTGCACAGGGTCACACTTCATCTCCACTTCTACTCCAGTCCTATTCAAACTGAAAGCAATTTTTAAACTGAAGCAGTGTCATACAAAGATAATTTTGACAATATCAGCATGGCTAAAGAGCCACATGTTTTCTGAAGTGCCTGTGTTATGGGACATCTGCATCCAATGCCCCTGATACAGGGAGCACTCAGGATACAAGATCTCCATGCTAAAGCTGTCTCCCAAACCTTGATATCAATAATTTCACATCTTGGCTTTTAACTACTGGATGTATTAACTGAGTGATCTGTGCTGGAAACACCTCACTCAACAGCTGTTGCAAAGTCCATGTTGAGGCTCAAAAATAACACCCCTTCAGAGTTCTTCTTTCTGCTCAGAAAGGAATTGTTTCCAGTAGTTCTCAAACACCTTGGCCACAGTGAGCAGTAATAGGGCATCTTTGTTGTCAAAGTCAAAATAAAATATTGTGGGCTATAACCATTTACAATCATATCTTAACAATAGTCTTTTAAAAATTATTTTAAAAAGTGGAAAGGCGTTTTGAATTTGCAGATTATTTAATTACCTATCATTGAGCATAAAAACCCAAAAACAGCTGATCACACCATAGAGAATACTATGAGTTAATCCCAAATGAAAGAAACCATTTGCCTCTCACAGACTATTAGGCATTGATTCAAAGCACATTTAGGTCAAAGGAAGTAATCCTTGTGGATGGAATTTTGGCCCTACTGAATCAATAAGACTTTTATTGCTGCACCTAACCAGGGCCAGGATTTTGACCTTTTGATTTAGTTTTACTCTGGATCAGTCCCTCAGTAGGCATGTAAGAAATTACCAAGAAAATTATCTTGGAAGTAGCTTTTGGAATCTGAATATTTTGGATTTATGATGTGCTTGGTCCTAGCTTTTCTCTAACTGTAGATTTGGAAGATATTTAATTTTGAAAATAATACAGTGTTACAGTGTACAAAATAAAAAAATAGGTATGAAGAAAATATGAGGTGGAATGCTGTAAATCTTGTTGCACCATTTAAAAATGACCTTTATAGTTTATACTTGAGGCAAGCAGGGATCATATGATCACATTAGGTTTGTGCCAGTAAAAGCTGTGCTATTGTTTACATGCTCTTCTGTCTTGCAAATACATAGCAGGATCTAAAGTCATGAGGAGTACATTTAAATACTCTTCTAGTAAATTCCTTCTTTCTTTTCCTTTTGTTGTGGTCATATAAGTAATGGGTTAATAAAGTAGATAAATACTGACTACTTAAGTAAGAAAACTTTGTTGTCATGGATTTGTGGTGATTGCATTGGCAGAGAACTGGGGGAAAAGAACCAAGTTACATACGTCAGTTCCAATTTAAAAAAAAATTGTACCATGTAATATTGTGGGTTTGACACTAAAGATGCCAGGAATTTTAAATTGTTAATTTTTTTCAAAAAACAACAGCCTAATTTGGAGATCTTCCTTTATATTCCCTCAGACCTAGACACAGTTTTGGATGTGAGATCAAAATGAAATAAAAAAAAAAAAGGAGAAAGAATCCTCTGAAATGATTTAAAATAACTTTCCTGTTGATACAAATTACTTTGAAATTATTTAGATTTCTTCTAGGGCCACTGAGTGGCATCTGGGTATCTGTTTCCCAGGTATATGAGGTTCATATTTTTTGGTCAGTAAATGCTTAAATAGGCAGCTTCACTGTAGTGAAAGAGGGAGAATTTTTATCTGTAAAAATTCACTTGCTTGGAGCAAACTAAATCTGACCTATATTATGCTGCAGCCTGGAACAGGTTTAGATGGGAAATAAACTGTGAAAGAGTCAGGGAAAAAAATATTGCTGTGATGCAGTTTTCAATTTGGCCCTATAAAAACTTAGCAGGACTTTGAAAGTCCAGGATTTCAAGAGGGGTAGATTGGTAGGTAGGAGGGATAGGTTGTAATATGCTTTAATACTAGTATATATACTAAGGAGTCATGTGTTCTCCAGTCATCATCTGTCATGTAACAAATAGAGCGTAGATTCACAAAGGGTTGTACTGGCATGAATTTGGGTGAGTGTGTTAATCAGAAATGATGAAGCTATGAGTGAGCTGTTCAAATCATCTCAGTGGATGACAAATAGAATGTTTAAGGCAGTTTGTCACATAATTGATGCCGTATGATTATTTCCAGTCTGATTCCTTGTGTATGAAAGGTCAGCAGTAAAGCTGACTTGCAGACAGGGAGATGTTACTTCCATTCTTGAAAAGTGTGAAATGCTTCATGCAGTGGATGCACAGGATGGATAGAGTTGAGAAAGATGTGATAGTGCTGTTGCAATAGTTTAAAAAAGTAAACAACTAAAAATTTTCTTTTTGCAAGGTGAAGTTTTTTTAGCAAGTTCACTGGGGTATTTTTCAGCTTGCTGGCAGCACCTGCATGCTGCTCAGGGTCTGTGAAAGATGCCCTTGCTGCAGACCTACCCTGGGTACCATCTGCCGATATCCAGGAGAGGTCTTCTAATAGGCCAAGCCCTCCTAATTCTTGTGACCTGCTGTTTAAGCTTTTACAGCTGATAACAAAGATAGAGTACAGCTTGTTTTTCATGACAAGAAGTGAGCTTTCAAAATTGCAGTAAGAAAATCCCACAGAAAGGGATTTTCTCTCTCTCTCCTTTTTTTTTTATTTTTTTATTTTTTTTAAATTTTTTTGGGGACATATGGTTCACAAGGTGAAGGAAATGCACACATGAATGTACACATGTATGACGGGGGCAAGGTAGTTTGAATATCTGCTAAAAATTGACCCGTATGAAAGAAAAGATTCATCTTTTTCAGGATTATCCAAAAGTCATTGACATAACCTTTGGTGGCACCTGGCCATAGACAGAACTGTAGGCACAAATAAGTGATTTCCATGAGATAAAGCAAACGTTCCTGCTATGACATACCTGAAAAGTTCACACACGTTGCTCAGAAATGGCATCAAATGTGACTGAGAGAGACAGGGAGAGACTGTGCAAGCAAAGGAATGCAAAATTGGTGCTCTGGTTCAGACAGGAGATTCACCAGGGCTGTATCCACATTGGGAACCTGCTTTTTTTAAGGGATATCTGCCCTCCTCCTCCTCTGGCTGCCTGTTACTGCCTGGTCTTGCCTTCTCCTGGAGTTAATGTTCCACGTGCACTTCATGGCTGAGCAAGCCAGCAATGTGCCCTTGATGCAAAGAAGGCCAGTGGTGTCCCAGGCTGCATTAGGAGGAGTGTTGCCTCCAGGTCAAGGGAGGTGATCCTTTGCCTCTGCTCAGCACTGGCAAGGCCACAGCTGGAGTGCTGGGTCCAGTTCTGGGCTCCCCAGTCCAGGAGAGACATTGACATCATGGAGAGAGTCCAGGGAAGGGCAAGGAAGATGATGAAGAACTGGAGCAGCTCTCTTGTGAGGATAGGCAGAGACCCAGGGCTGTTCAGTCTGGAAATGAGAAGGCTCAGGGGGATCTCATCAATGTCTCTAAATACCTGAGTGGAGAGTGAATAGGACAGCATCAGACTCTCTTCAGTGGAGCCCAGTGACAGGATTGGAGGCAGTAGACACAAACTAAAACACAGGAGGTTCCTCTAAACAGGCAGAAGTACTGTTTTTACTGTGAGCATGAGTGAACACTCACAAAGGTTTTCTGGGGAGGCTGTGGGTTCTCTGTCCTTGGAGATATTCAAAAGCTGCCTGGACATGATACTGGACTGGCTCTGGGGGGCCCTGCTTTAGCAGGGAGTTGGACCAGCTGACTTCCAGAGATCTCTTGTACTCTCAAGCGTTTTGTGACTCTGTGGGTGGCGTCAATAAAAGTGATGCTAGCCTGTAGGATGTAGACCTGTGGGTGATGAACTCCTCAACTGGCACAGGTGGTGCTAAAATCACCATGTGATGCTGGCCAGCACAGGAGATGAATGTCCAGTAGGCAGATCTGTTGCAGTAAGTTTGACTTATATCTCAAAAAGTTTTAGAGATTGATATATACCCTAGATCATCAAAATTAATATTTCTTCCAAAACTAATTAAGACATTGTACATTTTTATAATTGCCTGCATCTTTAATTGCTGTGAAAATCCATGCTCATCAAAAACTCATCCATAATTTCATTATCCACAATGTGCCTTGTAATCAGTCTTTTTGGTAGAACATAGAGAAAGCTCCCAATCTGTCATCTTTGTACTATTCTTTTAAAACATGTTGCCTTTCATTTCTGTCCTTTCTGATGTAAAAACATAATTCTTTCAGTCTGCCTGGTTATATTTCAAACCAATCTGTATGAAATGTAAACATACAAATTCTAATTAAGTACATGCATAGAAATGAAGTTGTTCCTTTCTTTTTTTTCCTAGTTTCATGCCATGCAAAGATTAAGTTGGAAAAGATCTAATGAAAAAAGTCAGGTGGCTGTACTGCTGTATTATTTGTAGAAAATATGATAATGGAGGTAGTTAATAGGTACCTAAACAATGTTAGTGGCTAACTTATTTTGGAAATAGAGTCATTAGCCCAGTTATTCTCAGAAGTCTTGTGATTGTAAAAGTTGTCAGATACTCTGCTGCTTGGATTTTCAGAGAGCACAGCTGGAGAAATGAATTAATTCACAAGCTTTTCAGCTCATAACTTCACTTTTGCCTACACTTCCAAGTCTCCAGTGACTCTACTTTTGCAGCTGAGCTGTTGTCAGGCTTGCAGCTCCATCGTGATAAATTTGATCCCTCAATTTAGGACCTTTAATAAGGGAAAATGCTGCTGGTTTGTGTTGGGCAAGGGAGAGTTTGGTTTTATTTTCTGAAGTGGTGCAGACACTGACATTCAATCAGTGTCACATGCCCTTGGTTTCTGTTTTTTGCCTCTTACACAGTCATGTTGAGCAGCATGGTGACTATTGCCCTCTCCAGGGCTGAGCAAAGTACATCAGCCCATACCTCTATACATGAGGAACTTTGTCTGCTATCAGCTTGTGGTTTTCAGGAACTGATTTAATGGATCCTATTCCCAGTTTGAATTAAATGGGTTTTGGGTCTTTTCAAAGACCTAGAGTACTGCTGCTGCCTAAGCTCTTGGAATTTAAACACATGTTGAATATCTGAAGGTATATAAAAATTTTTCCCATATGTGCATGTTGTGTATTTTTAAATTGAGCCTAGATGTGCAAGAATGTTTTACTAGTTTCACAGATAGCAGTGTAAGAATCAATTTAATCAGTAAACAAGTGATTCCTAATGAAGAGTATAAACTGGGAACTGCAGTAGACTGCTCTGCGATTGGTGAAAGGCGAAGTCCAGGTCTGGATTCCCTAGAATACAACATTCATTAAAGCATCATGTTTTAGAAAGTATTTTATGGAAGGGAGTCTTTGATACTGTGCTGACAAGAGTCTTATATAAACTCCCATCTGGCACTGAGCACAGAAGAGCACATCTCAAATGTGGGCCACGCAGCAGCAGCAAATCTAGTGCCTGCTTTTAATAGTACAGCAAGAGGTTTGAAGACATTTGATATTTTTATTACTAGCTTTTGTCACAAGATGCAGTCTTCTGAAAAAATGGCCAGATGCTTCAAAGGTTTTAGAAAAAAGCTAAAGCTCTTGAAACGCTAATTTCCTACACAACCAACCCTTATTCCTGAATGAATGCCCAGGCTGTAATAGGTGAATTGGGTCTGTGGTATGGGTCTGAGGTTCTGGGATAATTTAGAAAAACCCTTTTAAGATTTTTCTGCTTTCTGAAATGGAAATCCATTTAGGCCATGTATTTATTATTCTGTAATAGCTTTTCTTAAGCCATTGTCCCAAGGGTAAGTGCAAGTGGCTACAGCGGCAGCAGCTGAGGTTACTTGAAGGTTTTGGAACACAGTTGAATTCTGACAAAGACTCTATTGTGCTTTAAATGTGTTGGTTTCTATAATTTACAGTTAGAACAGAGGCAGAAACCCACTGATGCTGGCTGGGGATGCTGGAGGGAAACCCTATTGTTCCATTTATTCTACAAGTTTAAACATAATCATTTGTCACAGTGAATTTATTCCTTCCCAAGCAGCACTTGATATGTGTAGAAGAGTTATAGGAGCCTTCCTAAACACTTCCTGCAAGCATAGAGCACTTGCTGGTTACTTCCAAAGCTTTGTTAGTTCTATAATGATGGAAATTCCTTTATCTTCTGCTCTTCTCCACTAACTGCATGGCAAGCTGCATTTAAGTGCCAGAGCCAGGTGCCAGGGAAGGGAATGAACTATCCCTACAAAGTGGGTGTCTGTGGTACCAGAGCCATAGCCAAGCACTCAGCACAGGGATGGGGAGTAAAAGAAGCCCAGCTTTGGCAGTAGCCTGTGCTTGTACCAGCTCATTTGTATCATAAAACTGCACTTGGAGACACTTCATCTCCTGGCTGGCAGGTTTTGCTCCTGCAGCTCTCTGGTGCATGGTAGCCAGCAGCATCGCTTACACCTGTGCTTTCTTGGGTAGGAACTGCCCTTCCAGCTATGTTCCAGAGAAACTAATTAGATAGTTGCCTTTTTTGGAAAATCTTTCAGCTGCTCAGGGTGGTTTTTTTTTTCCCTTCTTATTTTCTACTCTTAAGAAAAACAGGTTGTAATCTCTTCTAGCTTCATGAAATATTTATGTCAGTCAAAAGCATCAGCCTTTGGGCACAAATCAGGCCCATAAACTGGATGGTAGGGAACACTGTTGCTGAGATGGGTGATTACCACCAGTCTCATTGAATAGCTGAAGTTTAGATTAAGCTGCTGGAAGATGTTAATCTTTAAAAAAATTAAAGTGTACCTTCCAGTATGGGAAGGAGGAGAAGATCTGACACTTGTGAGCCCGTTTACTTCTATTTTTTATCAAAAAGTTATCTTTTTGATTACAAAGAGATAAAGTATCAGATGTTATATTTTGCAGTTTATCAGTAGATGTTAGCACTTTGCAAAAAAAAAAGTAATTTACAGTTCATAGGTACTGTATTTGAAATGATTACTCCAACTCCAACTGTATGATATAGAAAAGAAGAAACCCTGGATAGCAGAATACACATAAGCAAGGCCTTTATGTTACCCATTCTTTCCATTTTTCTAATTTTCCCTTGGAAAGAGCAATTGCCTGTGTCAGTTTGACCGCAGCACCAGAACCAACAGAAGTTTTTCCATAAAGACATTTTTTCCCACTTGGGTATCCTGTTGTGATGCTGCAAGTCATGCCAAAATGTTGCCACATTGTCCTCATGATGTATCTGCTTTTGTTAGTGTGGGTGATTCATTCTTTTTTGGAGTCTTCTTATAAATGATGTATTTTTTATTTTGATAGGGCAATGGTAGTATTTATTCTTTGATACTAAAGCAATTGTGTTACTTACATAAATAAGACAATAAAGAACCCATCTGGTCTCTTTCCAAAACCTCTGTGACAGCTGACTCACATATCCTATCTCTGCAGCCAGGTTTGGTAGATGCTTGCACTATTGAATGTGCAAGTTAAGCACTCTTCCAGTGCTTCCACTTCTTACACTGAAATGTTGGCAGTTTAGGAACTACTACTTCCAGGAAAAAGAAAAAGTTTTTGAAAGTATGCTTATTTTTATTTTTTCTGGAAAGCTCAGAAGCTGAAATGAGACTGATTTTCAGTTCCATTAAAGGAAGAGCTTAAGTGCTTAAAAGATAGAAATACTTCGGGTAGATACATCTGTCAGATCTCTGACCTGTTGCTTTAGTCCCATTAAAAAAATAAAAACATTGTTAGCAGAGGACTTAAATATCCATTTCAGATATATTAGTGAGTACCTGGAAAATAGATCAAATTAAACATTGTTAAAGATTTCCTGGAAAACTCTCCATGAAAGTGAAGTGGATGACTGAGAAATTACTTGTACTGCTGATTCAGAAACATTTCAGTACAGAAGTAAACAAAGAAAAACCAAAACCCTTTTGAATATACAGGAGTTGATGTATATAAGAAAATTTGTGTACAGCCACAGCCTTCTGTGTTCAAGCTTGCCTGTTCTTTGGTCTGCTGTAACCTTTAATTGTTTTTCATATTCTTGATGGTATGAAAGCTTTTTTTTTTGCCCCTTTGCACACCATCTTTTCCGTATTTGCATGATCTGATCTTGTTCATAAGTAGCAGTTTTCATCTTTGAAAGATCTGTTTCTCTTCCTCACATGATTTTATTATGGGTATTTCAGAATCTATACTCATGTTATACTTACTAATTCATTTAAATATTTATGTGCAATTCTGTCACTATTCAATGTTTCTCATAGTTTATTTTTCATAGTTTATTTCTCCTTCTACAAAAATGAGCTGCCTTGAATTCAACAAGTATTAATTTTGGTATGAATGGATCCTTATCAAGCTGGCAATATTTTCTGTGTTGTAGATTAACAGACCTGATAGGTAATTAAGGGTTTTCTCTGTGTATATAAAAATTTAGGGATAGAAACATTTTAAGGTGTAGTTTTTCCTCCAGAGTGTTATTATCTGAAGTACTTCCATACTCAAAACTTAACATTTGTTCCCAGCATTTAAGGTTAACTTTCCAAGGAAGAGAAATATATTCAAATATTATTTCAAGTTACTTTTTTACAGTAACTATTCAAGTCATAAAACATTCAGTAGAATACCCAAATAGCATGATACAAAAGATTAAAAATTAAGCTTTAGTTTTACTTGAGAGTTAATGCCACTATTCATTTATTGACTCATTTTCTTTTCATTGGCAGAACCTGAAGAAGATTCAGGAAATGGACAAAGAGGCAAGTGATGAATCAAGCACAGATCTTGATGAACTGAAAAATGCTGACTGGGTAAGACAACAATGGAATAGTGATTCAGCATCACTACTGGCAGCTTATTTTTCTTTATAAATCATAACTAAGGCATTATTACCTCTACCCTCATGAGACCCCACCTGAAGTAGTGTCCATCTGTGTAGCTCCCAGTATAAGAATGATGTGGACCCGTTGGATTGAGTCCAGAGGAGGCCAAAAAGATGCTCAGAAGACTGAAGCGTATCTTCTGTGAGAAGAGGCTGATAGTGCTGGGGTTGTTCAGCCCAGAGAAGAGAGGGCTTCAGGGAGACCTTAGAGCACCTTCCTAAGGGAAGCCTCTGAGAGAGCTGGAGAAGGACTTTTTATAAGGACATTTAGTGACAGGGCAGGATGGAGTGGCTTTAAACTGAAAGAGATTTAGATTAGGTATTAGGAAAAAATTCTTTGCCATGAGGGTGATGAGGCACAGGAACAGGTTTCAGCAACTTAGTCTAATGAAAGGTGTCCCTGCCCAGTGCAGGGGGGTTGGAATTAGATGGGCTTTAAGGCATTTTCTACCCAAAACACTCTATGATACTGTGTTCAAATCAGTCTCTGGTTTTTTTTTAATATATGAATTAATAATAACCCACTATGAGTTAGAACTAAATGAAGTCTCAACTTTCCTTTGCAGACAGATGAAACAATACAAGTATCCAAGCAATATATTTTTCCGTAGGCTGTTTTCATGGAGAAGCTTTTGCAGTTTAAAGACTGGACATTTAGACAGGTACCATGCTGACTGCCCTTCAGAGGGGCAGTCAGGCAGTAGACAGAGTCACCAGCTGAATTTCTCCAGTGATGAAAGAAAAAGGCTGCAGGGAAGCTCTTAAGCAGGAAGTAACTTAATTTCTAGGTACTGTTCTTGCCAGTTCATAGAGGAATATTATGAGGTTCCTAAAAAATACTTGATTTTAATTTCCACATCTTCTATCCACCACCAGTTCTTTCTTCTCTCCAGCCATTCTGCTTCACTGAAGATGAGAGGGAGGTATTAGTGCTCTTACAGGCAGAGCAAAAGAAGTTGAGTTTTTCTATTGCAAGATCTTAGGACTTGAAGACCATTCCAAAATTTCTATTTGAAGAACAACTTTTGGGGAAATTTCACAGGAGAGTCCTGGGTAACAAAGTTTCAGATTCAATCACTATTTTAGTTCAAATAGTATTAGCTATATGTCTATAAACTTTGATTATGTGCTCGCAGTATACTTGAAGTGGGAATTTAGATGTAAGGCATGAGAATTTCAAATCCTCTTTCCATACTTGAGGTGAGGCCCAGCAGTCCTGCTGAATTGCAATAAAGTTTTGTTATGTTCATGAGTGTTAAAAATAAGCTTATATAAAACAAAATTTGGGATTTGGTTGATGTGTTAAAAATAAACTAGTACAGCTGTAAATATTTTTGTCCTTGAAGGAAATTTAGGTTTAATGTGAAGTGGTATTCAAGGGTAAGGTATGAAGTAAAATTTCTGTCTCTTTTGTCTTTAGGCCCGTTTTTGGGTGCAAGTGATGAGAGATTTACGGAATGGTGTTAAACTTAAGAAAGTACAAGAGCGTCAGTACAACCCACTCCCCATAGAATATCAGCTCACACCCTATGAGATGCTGATGGATGATATTAGATCCAAACGCTATACCTTAAGGAAGGTCATGGTAAGTCAAGAGAATCACTGGTTTGTCAAATCTGAAATATTATTTTCCTTTTTTTATCTTCTTTTTGTCTTTTTTTTTTCTTCTGAGGATCTTGAAATTACTATTTCATATAGATACTAATGTTCATGGGGTTTATATGGCATCATCAATTTTGCACAGTGCATTGAGGGAGAGAAAATGAAACCAACACATGTAGTGTACTTTGATTTCCATGTGGCAGGCATTTAAAATTCTGAAAGACATGCCTACCTATCATAAGCTTGAACAAATCACTTGTGTTGGGTTTGTGATAACTTTAATAGTCATCTCAAAAGTCCTGTCATGCTTTCCACTGAGAAATTGTTTTTGACTTTTCTTATTGGAGAGTACATTTGTCTTGAGCTACAACATAGTTTTTGGAGTTCCAGGATGTAAAGTGCTACCATGAATGAATGATACTGTGATGGCAAAGGAAAACCTACAGTAGTTGAAAAATGCCTGTATCACAGTGTTTGAAAACTTACATTGATCTGTTATGAATTTTCAAGGAATATTCTGTGTAAAAAAAAAAATATATATATATTTAATTTTCCATTTGTAGAAGTTGAATTCAGTTATTTTCAGCATAGTCTCTTTTGCTTTCAAGTCAAGACAGTATGCCACAGCAAGCTGGAGAATGTTCATGGGTCTCCTCCCCCTAGATCCTCATAAAGGTGCTTATAAAATTGACTTGAGGCACTCTTTTTATCAGAACCCATTTGATATTTACTGGTGTCTCCCTGTTCTTTCTGTCCTTTTGGGTTACATTTTTTTCAGTGTTAAGATGTTCTTCCTGATCGTCTAGCAACTGATCTAAAGGGCATCTTATCCCTAGCAGGACATTGTAAATCCCTTTGCCAGAGGCATGTATTTGGTCAATATCAGTATTTATACCTTACACTTACTTATCTTCGCCTATCATTAGTTAAAATGGAAGCATTGTTTTAGAATATTCAGTATTCAGATGTATTTACTTTCCTGACAAATCTTCACCATTCACTGTGATTCCACCAAAAATAAAACTAAGGGGAGGGTGGGGGGTGAGGAAGACAAGTCAGAAAGTGTGTAGTATAAATGCTTTTTATGTTTGACCTGAAAATACTTTCCTAATCGAGATCTGGATTTAGACTATCCGATTGTATTTATTTTCTGCTGCAGATGTTGTTTAAATTCTAAATCAATAGGGTAAAATACATACTCAGGTAATGATGTTATTTGTCTTTCCCCTAACAATTCAGAGAACTGTGCTAAGTGTTCCTACTACCCTCTGCAAAAGAGGACCAGTCCCCTCAGGACCTTAATTACTGTATGCAATCAGAACAGTAGTTTTGTTTGAGTGGGAACCCCTGGGTCATCTAATTTTGCTTTTGTCAGACTGGCTTTTAATTCATCTGCTGCTAAGCAAGCTCCTGCCTCTTCAGAAGAGATTTCCTTCATTATGTGGTACATCTTGGGGGCACAGCTGCTGCTCTGCTTATCCAGACTCTGGCTCTGTACAAAATCCCTGGAAGCATCTATTTTTGGCCTGCTATCTTGTCTTCTAGATAGATTGTCCAAAGGGAACTCTGAGAATAAATATGATTGCAATCAGCTGCAGGTACAGTACCTGTAGGGCTGTCTGTGATGCAACTGCTGGCTTAGTCTGACAACTGCTGATGGTGACACTTAGAAAAATCACTTCTTTCTTACTGGAAACTTTAAACTCAGTAACTTGGATTCTGCTGCAGGGTCTGCTTGAAGCATGTTCAACAATAAGAGTGCAGCTTGACATGGAACCTGAAGGAATCACACAGAATTACAAGTTTAATTAGATTGCATAGATAGAGCATCTTCTAACTGGCTATCACAGGCTGAAGCTGATTGTATGGGTTCCCATCAGCAGAAACCTTTGTCATTCTTGAGAAGCGGAGAAGAGGACAAGGATCCCAAATCTGAATTTTAAGGCAGTCTTGGAAAGATGGATTATGTTTCTTTCTTTCATTCAAAATGGATGTTCAGCAAAATTTGTATTAAAAGTAATTTTTATTTTAAATTTATGGGTAGTAGTTTTAGACTTTGTAGTTTGTGAGGGCACATATCCTACTAATGATACCAAGAAGTTAAGTAAGTTTTCAAAGTAATAAGTAATATTTTTAAGTAAATGAAATTCAACATGAAATTTCTACTGTTCTTTTTAATAGTGTGATGCTGTGTTTAAAAGAGTAGCTTGATCTGTCACTGACCTGCTCAGTGTTCTGAGTAGAAATTAAAGAAGGAACAGATGTTCGTGTTAGGTCATATTTTACTGTTTCAGACTGTTGTGCTAACAGACAGAAATAACTGGAGCTTCCTGATCTCACCCATTGTTATAGTGCAAATATTCAAAATGTTTCGAAGATGTAAAATGTCAGATTCTGGGCTTTTGGTAAATAATTGGTTTCATTTGTTTCAGTGGCGTTGGCATTTCTATTTCAGTACATCTGAAAATAATTTCAGATTTGTCATCTTTCTATCCTGAGGCAAGAGTCCTCATTTCTGCAATTATTGTGGGAACAAGATAGCTTTCATTCTGGAATTTTATAAACTTTAAGTATCTACCTCAGAGGGATTTAATAGCTTTCCTCACCTGTGGAGCACCCACTCCCACACAAGCTAAAAGCTGTGGTCATTGGTAGATTAAACACCTCGAAATGGAGAAGTTTAAGAATTAATTACTCTTGCAAGCTTAATTTTTCTTTATTATTTGTATGTCCTAGTTTAGGGCAAATTAGGGAGGAAAACTCCAAATAGGGATTTCCTCAGGGAAATGCCCCCTCCCCACCCCTGGTCCGGAAAAGGGAAGAAAAAAAAAAAACAAAACAAAAAAAAAATTTCTTGGAGAGAAGTGGAAAAAGCTGTTTATTTAACAGAAATTGAATAATATTAAATAATAAAACTTCTCGCTGTTCGATGGGATGGCAAGTCTAGGAAGAAAAGTCCTTTTCATGTGGTGTAGCTCGGCTCGCTCAGGTTCTTATCAGTCCTTTCGGCACTGGAAAGTGCCAAGGCCCAGGCCCCGGTGGGCCACAGGCGTGAGCTCCCGGGGTTTGGCTGGGTGTTCAGTCCAGAGCAGGCTTGCACAGATCCAAGAGGAAAAAAAGGAGGGAAAAAAAACAAAGGTCCAGGGAACTCTTCTGCCTCAGCTAGCTAGAACTAACTAAAAGCCAGAGAGAAGCTCTGTCCCGCTGTCTGTCCGTGCTGCAGACACCGCAGTCCAGGAGCGGGATGTGTGGGAGTGATGTTTTTCTTTAACACAAACTGCGCGCTTCTTCTTCTCCTTCTCTTGCTCTCAAAGCCAGTCTTAAAGGTGCAGGACTTAATATATTAACATAAAGCAGACGATTGGGGATACCAGTATCATAAAGTCACCCCAGGACAGTTGATCTACAGTTTTTAGTTTCAGAGTGCTTCATAATTAGCTCTGCTTTCTGCCCATCTCCACCCCCCGCTCCAAGATATGCACCATCCACTGTATTTCTGAGCAGCACTTATTGAACAGTAGCTGATATCTCCTGCTCAATACGTGTCTGTTAGGCACTTCTATGCCCTATCCAAAATCATCATTATGTTACATAACTGTTACACTCTTTGTAGGTAACATCACTCTTGTCATCATATTTGAGCTCTTCACAAGTACCTGTCATGCAGTGATACAGGCTTGACCATGTTACAGACGGTGAATTTAAACATACAGGTTGAAGCCATTATTATCAAAAAATATCCAGTAATTTGAATGTCTAAACTGAGAATCCTGTGGCATAGGTTTTTTTGGTTTTGTTGTTGTTTTTTTTAAATTGTCTTCTTTGCAGTATTTAGCATCTTAGATTACTTAGGTAAATTGCAGTAACAGCTGTGCCTGGACAGTGTTTTCATAAGCATTGTTTCATATGCTTTGAGCAGGACATAGAGAATATGAGCTTTACTGTGCAAAGGACTTTGACCACTTTATCCAGCTGGACATTGTAGAGTCTGTGGTTCCCTTACATACAAGTCTGACCTGGTTGTAGTGAGTTGCTTTCAGCAGGGGAGCTGTGCTTTTCATTTTACACCTTCATCACATGTTTCTACAGAAATGTAGGAGTCATCCTAGGTAGAGCAGGGAGCTTTACAGTTCCTAATCATGCTTTTAGGGGTATTCAGAGGAGGGACTCTGTGAGTACTGTGGTTATCATGTGATATCATAAACTTTTTTCTGCAATAGCTGTGCAAGAACAGTGTGAGTACAGTGCTTCATGAAGGGAAATACCAGAGCACTTCATTCTTGGACATTGCTGCTTGAGCTTGCTGTAGGGCATCAAAATACTGTATAGCAACTGTGTTAACTAAAACACTAAACTATCTGCATAATGCAAGATGGTAAATAGATATCTACTTAAAGTAATTTAATTCACCACTGAACTTTATCATGAGCTGTCCTGGAAATGATGTAGTGTATCCCCTCTGTCTGTTTCCATGTCCATGCAATTTCCTTTTAAATGAAAATTTCTAGATTGTACAAGACAATATCAGTTTCCTGTTGACTATAACATAAAGACAGCACTCTCCTATGTATTGCTGACATCTTTAATAGCTGAACAAATAAATGGCTAAGGTAATTGAGTGTCAATGATAGGTGATATTATTTTTTGTGATAGTTATCAGCAATGTACTTCTTGTTTGGGATCACCATTTTTAAAGCTTCTGGCTTCAGCCAAAGGTAACTAAGTACCATTTGCCATTATTTTTTTAATTGCAAATCCATATGTATTAAAATGTGATGGTAGCAGGTTGTTGGTAGATGATGACATGCTAGTTTTTCTGTGCATTAGCTGTTTGGATCTCTACATTTATGTTTGATTTTTATAATAATTGGTTAAGCTTTTTTCACACTGCCCGTTTTAATGCATACTGCTATACAAGACCTGTTTTACACAGATGAAGTCTTTGTTTTACAGTGTTTTGAGGTATTTATTCAAATACTGGCTTGTAGTTGGGGCCAGCCTGGTATGTGGAGATGAAAATATATATATATAAACTTGTTCTTGGTGATTTTTCCCCTGCAGCCTGTGTATTGTGGCTGCATCTGTGCAATGTCTCTGACTGAGACTTTAATCAAGAACCATGAATTTTAATTAAGTAAAAGTAAAGGATGCATTTGAAGTTGCTTACTACAGAGAGAGTTAGTTTGAGTAAATAAATAAATCTAGTCTGAACAGAGAGGATAAAAGTTTCCCTTCAGTATCTTTCATGTCACTATCTTGTTTGAGCACCAAGTATAAGAAGGTAGGTTCTGGCACTGATGCTCCTGCTCTTGGCTTGTTGGCTGCAAAACATCCACTTGCTTGGCCACCAGCTCCCCATGTATCCTGTGGAAAATCATTTAAGCAAATCCTACATTTCTCTTTTTCCAATCAGATGGTAATACTGATACTAATTATACCCTGATGGCATTAAGTCAGGACCTTGAGTGCCCTGAGGTGAAAGGCTCAGAGCCATCTATTATTTATTGACTATTGTCATGCAGAGGGTTGTTCCCCAAGGCTCAAACAGAGATTATCAGTTTACAAAACGGCTGTTCTGATGGTAATAATTCTCAACTTCAGCTGTCAACTTTGACATCTGATGAACAGTAGCTCAGGGAAGAGAGACTTCTCATTTCATTAACAATCTTGGGAGATTGGCCTCAAAAAACTGCACAGTCTTTGAACAGAAGAAATCAATCACACCCCTTAAAATAGTATTCTCCTCATCAGGAAATGTCGAATCACGGTTTAGTATAAATCTTTTCCATTTTAATTTTTATGCAGTGTTTTTAAAAAGATGATGCAAGTTGCAGAGTTTAGCAGCTTGGTATTCTTTGCCAAGCAACATGAAATTCACTCTTAGGAAACTAAGGAGGGTGGAACAAATAAAGTTTGGACTGTGTCTGCGGTAGGATATCTCCAGAAAGACAAGATGCTTTCCATCGGGAAAGCAATTAAATGCTCCCCAGGAGGGACTCTCCATCTGATTTCTTAGAGGGAAAGGGATGAATCTTATTGAGGAGGCTGTCACTCAGCCTCACAGGGCATGCCTGAGGTGAGCAGAGCTTGTATGGAAGCTTCATGGCATTGGTGAAGTTCAGTTAGGGATCATATTCACATGACCTTATGGACATTTAAACCCCTTTTTATGATGGCAGCAGTCCTTCTGGTTAGCAAAAGGGCATGTTATCTGGCAAACCAGATGTGTCTTTACATGGGTTTTCTGGCTACAGAAACATCCATATTTGTATGAATAGAGTCCTACCAAAAAAAATGTGGCAACTTACTCTTAAAAAAGAAAAAAGAAGTCTGAAATATGGAATACTTGGTCTAAGCAATACAGTGTCATGGAAGTTTCTGTCAACTTGGACAACAGGGCTAATACATAGCTACTGTGTAGAAAGAGAAGGTGGCAGAAGAATATATACAACGCAAGATGATCTCTAATCCCTGACAGCGTGCTTGGGCACTGTGCTCTGTGAAGACTGAATCTGACAGTTTGGGGTTTTTTTAAGAAAATCCATACAATTATTCCCAGTTTACAATTTATACATTCTTCATGTGATATAAAAGCTTCCATTGCCTTCTTTAAATCCCATACATATAGTAAATTGACTCCTCCCTGACTCTTCCCTGTGATATCTTATATATGGTCTTACATCTAAATGTCTGTGTCTCTGGAGAAAACCAAACCAAAAAAGCAAACAACTAGCCCCTCTTCTACTGAAATATGTGATTTACAGTGAGGAAACATACTTCTCCCATAGACACCATTGCAGCTTTGACATTCGATTTCATTACTTCAAAATCCTAAATATTGCTGCTTAAAGCTGCTGCAGTTGGAGTTATTTTGCAGCCATCAGCAAAGCTGATTTGCTTGCCTGTGCTCTGCATATGGATTGTTGTTCCACTCAGGACTGGTGAGGTTTCATGTCTTGTGCAGGTGTCAGAACACTGCAGCTCTGTCAGGGTTGTTATAAGTTTTCAGTTAGTCTCATCTGCATGAATACAAATGTGTAACACAGCAATATATATTTTGCTTTCTCCTTTCCAGGTCAATGGTGACATCCCACCTCGATTAAAAAAGAGTGCCCATGAAATAATCCTGGATTTCATCCGATCACGACCTCCATTAAATCCTGTATGTAATCCAGTGGGCTTCATTCCTTACAAAATAGTGGCTTTTTAAAGCATGTTTGATTCCAGCAAATATGTAGACATAATATTATCTGCCAGGGCTTTCAAAAATACTGTCTTCTGTACGTAGAATAGGATCTCTTAAAAGAACAGTGTGTAATATGTTGCTCATACCAATTAACAGCTGCCAGCAGCCCTTTATCTCTAGGAAACCATGATGCATAAAACCCTCTTTCAAATTTATGTTGAGGTTTGAAACTGAGTGTATGTAAAATCATATCACCGCATTCCATGTTTTTTTTTAAAAAAAGTGTGAAATCTACTTCCAAGGATGCACTTTTTAATGTAAATATGATTGTCTCTGTGTCCCAAGGCGTCGGCAAGGAAACTGAAACCAACCCCGCCACGGCCCCGCAGCCTCCATGAAAGGATTCTGGAGGAGATCAAGGCAGAGAGGAAGTTACGTCCAGTCTCCCCTGATGAGATAAGGCGTAGCAGGCTGGGTAAGCACATGGCCAGTTTTTACTTGCAGCATCCACAGAAAACTTACCACTTAAGATGCAGCAATTTTAGCCACATCTGTGCAGATGTCACCAAAGATAAAATTACTCCTTCAGAAAAAGAAATCACCTACAGGCTTTTCTAGGGCTGTGCAGTCTTTGTGTTTAGTTATATTTTAAAATATGAAACAGAATGGTTCAGATTGATTCCATGCAAGTTTTTAGTGTATTAGATGAATGGAATGGTATTGTATTGCTTGTTGCACATAATAGTTTATGTTAGATTTGCTGAGAATGGAACAGGTATGTTCCATTTGTCTCTAGTTCAGTACACCTTGACTATCTGAAAGTATTCTTTACATGTTGATTTTTAATTAATTTATTCTCTTTGTTTCCTGTTGTTAACATCATCAGCTTCTTTATTTTAATTTAAAATTGGCTTTTATTTTGTTTACTGAATCTGTTGCATTTATTTTGAATCTAAATCTTTGCTTCCTTTTCCAAGCTATGGAAAATGTGTTTGTAGGTCTTTATATGGGAAAATAATTCAGACTTGTACTGCAAAGCATTTCATTTCTGCAGTGTATTTTCAGCAAACCAATATGAAATGATGCAAATACTATGCAATGCAGCAGTCACCAGTTTGCATTAGTTCAGTGGTTCTGATGGCAAAAGCGTGACAAATACAGTCCTACATAGTGACTTTGATTGCTTTAAGTGTACTGTATTTATCTGTATCAGAAAAACTGAAGTAGCTGAATTTTTAAAGAGCAAATGTGGAATCTTATGTCTGAAAACTGTCAAAAATCCGCATATGTACCCTCTGTCATTGCTTTTTGAAAGATATTTGTGCTTGCCACATATACCCAAAGGCACTGGTCCAGATTCAAGTGGATTGTGACAACCCGTTGTCTCTGGAGAAAAACAATTTCATCAGTCTTGCTTTGTTGCATTGTTTTGAAGTGCTTGATGGAGTTTGGGGAATGCTTTGGTGCGTTTGTAAAAGAATGATGCTTTGAATATTGTTTTTTTGGGCATTCAAGTTTCTGGTTTGGATTCAGTTTATGTTTGCTGTATCAATTAACATTTCTCACAGGCCTAGACTTTTTTCCAAATGTAGGAAGCTTGTAAAAATGTGGAATGACTCCTTACTTTTCTTTCAAACATTCAGTTTCAGAGTTTTAAATGTTCTCTGTCTGGGAGCTACCATGTTGTCTCAGGGACTGCAAACCTGATCTAATATATATTTACAATTTCTAACTGATATAAATGACATCAAACCCAGTTAGTAAACAGTTTCTAAAACTGATGTTAAATTTTGAATCACTACTGATTAGGACTCCTGGACTGATTTCAAGGCATTATCTCCAATGAAAGTTACCTGTCTTCCACTAATTCTTCCCTTTTTGTTAAAGCATTAAATTTTTGTGTTTTGGAACTGGGGTAATTCCTCTTAAGTCCAGTGAATTGACTGGATTAAATGCCACTTTAATGGGGATGTAAAGGTGGATGCATGCAAGCTTTTTTCCAAGTATATGTTAGCTGCTGGCATGAAGAACTAAAAAGACCGAAGTCCTTTAAGATAATTTTCCCTACGTTGCTGTATGAGGTTTCGTTCTTTCTCACAATAGGAATGATTGTTACACCTGAAGTTCCTTTTAGAAAAGAATGTGCTTGTGCAGTTTGGTAACAAGTAATGTTGGTAGCATTCAGTATGGCACAAATAGATCTGCCATACAGTTTAAATGACCACTGAATGTAATTTAGTGTAACAACATGTAAGGTAATGAGGTTTAAGGATTATAAATCTAAGTAGGAACACCATGTGGGACACTTGCACCATCTGGACAGAACTATTTGTTGCTATTAAAAAGGAGGAAAAAAATAGCACATTAAAGTGACATATTCAAGAGCATAAGGTGTGTTTCACATGTCCCAGAGCTACTCCTTTTTGCTCAGTTTATACCATCAAGAGCACAACTACACTTGGCTGTTGGGGTGAGCGGGGGCTGTACTCTTGCAGTTCGTCCTCTGTGATAAGGCTGTTCCTATGGCATGTGTTCCAGCAGCCACAGGCTTTGTCCCTCTCTACACAACACATATTAGAGGTAAGATCTTCTCTACCCTGGCCAGTCTCAGTCTAAACCTTCTTTGCGAATGGGGTTGAGCTGTGCTCACAAAGAGAGAGGTTTGAGTAGAGGAGTTGGATTGAGCTTTCGAATGACCTCATAAAATCATCAGTGTAAGCCATCAAGACAAACACAGCCTTGAGGTACACGTCCTTTTAATTAAAAGCATGGATTTGTGACTCAAGCAAGTGGAGCTAATGGAGCTTGGAGAAAGCTTTGTTTCATGTGCAGGTTTTATCAATGTCTCAGCATCAGCTGATAAACACCCTTCTGCTTTAGAAGTATGTGCCTTTATGCTAAGATTGGACAGAAATTTTTAAACTGTTTCTGTAGCGATTATCTATGGATAATTTCTAGTTAGTGAATACAGAAAAAATTCCCTGACTCCCAAAGTTAGCTCTGAGTCAGCCACCTACTGCATGCACCACTTTAAATTATTCTCATGAGGAAAACTTGTCCCAGTACAACCTTTTTATAAACAGCATCTTTTAGGGCAGTGGTATGTGTGTCTGACAGGCTCTTTCTACCAGCTTGCAGGTTGATCACCTGTCAAGTAAGACACATAAGCTGATTTCAATTTTGATGCATTTTTGCACATTCTTGTCACTGGACTTGGCCTGATTATCTGGATTAGTGCACTGAAATTTTGTTTTCAGTTGAATATTTTGAGGGTCTGCTCCCTGAAGCATGGTTTAATTGGAAATACGAATAAGTCTTTCCAGAAATGGAGAACATCTGGCCACTTCCTTATCTAACAATAAAATCATCAGAGGAAGAAGAGAATAATATTACGGATGCATTTTAAAGGCTAAGTGAACCTAAGGTTTTTAAAAAGAATAGTAATCAGCACAAATCAGATTTTGTTTGACCTTTTTTTCCATTCTCTTCAAGGAAACTACTGCTCAAGCTTAGCTTGGGTGTCTCTCTTTATTAGTTTAATTATAATCATTGGAGATTATGCTTAAAAAAATTGGAAATATCTTTATTTCAGGTCACTGAAACTTGTGTGAAATGTGGCTTTGTGCTTTCAATTTTTTTTTCCAGCTCCTTCTCTCTTCTCTCTCTTTCCCTTTTTCCTGATTCTCTTTCATGGTGATTTTATTTTAAATATTAATTTTTGAGATATTTGTCTCTTGTTTTGATATTTGATTTATTTGATTCCAAAAATCTTAATTTAGTAGTAATATAATTGCTTTGTTTTCAAGTCCTGTTTATGCTACTGTAGTTTTCAGACTTTGAGCTTTACTACAGTGAAGCAGCAGAATGTCTGACACATTTTGGATTTAAGCAAGGGAGTCCAAAATGTCTCAGGTGGAGTTAATCTTTTGTTTTCATTGTTCCTCTGTTTTTCTAAGGGCTGAACCATTTTCTTTTTCTGTTGTGTTTGTTTCTTTTTTACAGCAATGCGGCCACTTAGCATGTCTTACAGTTTTGACTTGTCAGGTAAAATATGCTGAACCACCTGATGTGGTTGTTGTGCTTATTGTGAAATTCATTCCATCTGTTTGTTGAATTCCCATCTAAGAAAGAAACTTGAAGGGATTCTTCCAAGATATGGTCAGTGAAAATAAAACAATTAGATAAATTAGTTATTAATACTTATATTTCCCTTGCCACAAAAGGATGCCTAGGTACAGGAAACATCTGTATTTCACCTGAAATACAGAATGTATTCACCAGAGTGCTGCAATTCTGTTTAAATAAATAAACAAAATAAGGTTATCCAGAGCTATTCCAGACTCTTAAAAGGATTGCAGAATAGAGCATCACCTTCAAGTCTGATTTATTTATTTATAAATCTGACTTTTGTGTCATTGCACTCACTTTTTGACTAGACCATCTTTTTCAGTACTTCATTTCTCACCAGGATCCTAAGACTAGCTTTGAACTCATCTACCTTTCTAGATTAAGTGAAAGATACCTACGTATATTGATCTAGAAGTAAACTGTCAGTTCTACAGCATCTTTATGGTGACAGCTTTGTGAGCCATTAAATCAAAGACATTCACTAAAAAAAAGGCTAAGCCTTCTTTCTTGTTTAGCAAAGTAAGGTTTGCTGGTAATAGCTGGTACAGAGGATCTAAAAGGTGACCTTGATCAACTATCTAATATAAATTTTCACATTTCCTCTGGTGAGCCATTAATTAGAACACGCAGCAGCTGCATGAACTTGTTCCCCTTTGGATACAGCAATATCAGATAGCCTAGTAGCCAAAAAATAATTCATTCCTTCCTTATTATACACTAACTTTCCAGGATGATCAGGCCCAAAATTTCCATCATGGATGTTGGAAATATTCAGCATCAGCCTCAAAGGTTTGTTGCAGAGGATATAGCTGGCTCTTACCTAATTTCCACTAGGTGACTCTCAAAAAAGTCTCCAAATAAATCTGTTCTTTTTTTACCACCTCCCCTCTGTTCTTTGAGTTACACGTAGAAACATCTCATCTAGGACTTTAGCAGAGCTCACATCCTCGGTTTTTCCATGCATCCTTTAGCCTCATCTGGTTATTTTCCCCACGGAAAGGCATCATCTGACAGAAATGCTGGTATATTGTGAAATAGAAAGACCATACAGAAGTTTTTTGATTACTATAACCTAAAAAATACAGCATTTATGTAACATGGGAACACAGTTGACGAGTGACATATCTGTGAACGTGGCTTCCTGTTCTGATTGAGCCAAGGAAACAGCTTGCCACTGTTTAGAGGGGAGGAGGGACTCTCACTGCTCCCCCTCTTCCCCAGGCTCCCCTCTAAGCATGTGATTCTCCCCCTTCTCTCTGTCAGTCCTGCTCATTTATTCACAAGAGGACTGTGTTAAACTCCTGTAACCCAGGAACAAATGCTTTTAATATTTTTTTACCAGGTTGT